TATTTTTCTATAGCACCAAAAGTAACCAGGATAAACAACATCGGGTCTGTCTATTGAGCCCATACGACAACTGCCGGACACGTGATAAGTCGTGACTGAGTTATACTTAATCCAACACATCAACCCCTCTGTGCACTCGTGAATATACCTCCCGGTGCACACCGGACAGCCATAATTAGATAATTTAGGCAGTATAACGTATTGAGCCAACTGTGTTTTCTCAAACAAATAAAATTGCATCCTGGTCATCTTTAATGTGTTTTGGACGTCGTCCGGGTCGGTCAAAAAGTTTGGACGCAATAGTAGGTAAACCCTGGGATCGGTTGACTGTAGGCGTACTGTATTGACACGAGCTAAATTGGACGTGGTCACAAATGAACCATTAAATGTATTGATAAATAAGTTGACATTGGGCCGTTGTTTATCCTGGTTACTTTTGGTGTTATAGAAAAATATCACTGTGGCGTATTGTGCGAGTACACCACCTTGTTCATAGTAGAGTTGACTCAATTGTTTTATATTGATTTGTGACAATTCGTTGACGAGATACAAGTACTCGGGTTTAACCCGTGGACTCAACTATATATTCGGGTGATTCATGTAATTGTCACCAACCGGTAGATCAAATATTACTGGTATCCCAAGACTTTGTAAGTGATCCCTGGGACCCACACCCGACAGCATTAGTAATTGTGGGCTATTTATGGCACCTAAAAGTAAATCATATATTATTTAAAATAATATTAAAAATATTTTTGTGTAATAATTACCGCCGGAAACGATAACCTGAGCATATGCCATCTTAAATACAGTACTGTATTAAGTCTTAATGTGTAAAGCACCTACACATCAATAAATTATCTACGATAATAAATAAAAGGCAGGGACCTTGAATGACCCGGGTAACACATGTTTTAAAATTACCTGAACATCACTTACTAATGTAGAAGTTAAAAGTTTTTAATTAAATTAAATTAAATGTTTACATTTGAAGGCATTTATTAATAAAATACAATTTCAACAAAAGTTAATTCGTTGTCATTATTAATCCAATAATTGAGTGAATGGTTGAGCCAACTCTCCTTGATAGACATACCTACCGGAGCCCACATTTGCGTGAACCGGTTCCTTCAAAAATGATAAATCAATCGATGCTTTCGTATTGACCGGAATGTCCACCTAATAGCAACCCAACAAACAAACTAATTAACAAACTATTCATAAACTAACAAAACTTACTGTTAATGTAATGTTAGCGCCGTTAGTCTGCCAACTCGTCCCAATCAACCCTCGAATGGACGCATACCGGGCCGTCATATTATAGAGATTACCGCCGGGTTTGGGTGCGATTACGATACTCTTGAAGCCCACCTCATCGTCATTGGTGTCAATACCGGCCACCGATTGGTAGAGCCAACGGCCCACCGATCCCAGGGAGTAGTGATTGAATGAATTCATATTCGGGTCCTGAAAGCCCTTGTCTTTGGTCCAGCCGTCCCAACGCTCCCATATTGTGGTGGCGTTGTATCGGATACTATAGCCCCACGAGGGGTACGTGTCCTGCAGTACCAAACGGTAGGCCACGTCCGAGTGACCCATACGGCTCAGTGTTGGGCACAAGTGGCCCACACCTGAGGCATAGATATAATCATAAATTTATTAAATTTTTAAAATTAATTGATAACTAAAATACTACTGACCGACAAATCCGGTGGTCAGGTGCCAGTCGTGGGCCTTAATATTGTCGACCAAATGGTTGGCCGCCAATGGGATCAGGTTTTGAGGCAACATCTCGAAGGCAATGGCTAAGACATACACTGTCTGAGTGTCGCCTTTGATCTTACCATCAGTTGTATTAACAAAAGCCTTCACAAAAGCATTGCTTATATTTGTATACAATTCACTGTATTTCTTGTGATCTTCCGTAACATTCAATACTTTCGCTATTTTGGACATAAGGAGAGCGTCGTAGCCATAGTACCCGGTATTCATGACATCCTTGGGTGTGTTGGCCCCCACTTGCAGCCAATCCCCATAATTACGATTCACTCGTTTTGTCCAAATATAGGACGGGTTCTGAGCGCCGATGTAATCAATCCAACGCTTCATAGCCTCGTAATTGTCTTCAATGATCTCA